AACATTCATTATAAATAGTATGCAGTGTTGGGAAGATTACTTTGGAAATGTAATTCGTTACAATTACAAGTTACTCTATTTAAAAAGTAATAGTAGTGTAACTATTTCAATTACTATATGAAAGTAATGTAACTAATTACATTTGATTACTTTTTGATTACTTTTCTAAATTATGAATGAATATTCTCAACCATTAACCATTTTGAAATTGTGTAACCTGGCAGTGTTTACCTTACAGCAGTACTAAACACTGCTAATCAATAGCCCTAAACCTAACTCTTAACTTAACCCTAACCCCCCAAAAACCCCTAAAACCCTTACCTTAACCCTAACCCCTAAAACCTAACCCTAATCCCAAGACGGTCGAACTGCACATGCACAGAAAGGCTCGATAGCACATCTCGATAGGTAGGATCGATGTTATGACAGAACACTTGTAAACACGCACTGCAATGCACAGTTAAATTTGTGTCTTTTTCCGTAATGTATCGGAAATGTTTTTTATTTTTCCAGCAATGGAATGCATTCCTTTCCTTGTCTGCCATCGCCTGCAACAGAAACTCTGACCACTCAGGCAAATTAATTAGCAGAATTGGCGCTGCAAATATAGACGCGACAGGATTACCATTCAGAAGCATCAAATAGTTTCAAACTTTTGGCTATGGAGGGAAATAGCAAATGAGTATATTTGCATAAGAATAACATGAAAAGCAATAAAAACACTGTTATTAAAGATATCAGCAAGTTTTGCATACAATCTTATGATGTAAGTAAAATTGTAATTATGAATATTTCCATAAGTAACTAATTTAATTACACTTTTTTCTCTAGTAACTGTAACGGATTACAATTACATTTTTATTGTAATTAAATTACGTAACGCTGTTACAGTACATGTAATATATATATATATATATATATATATATATATATATATATACACACACACACAGTGGTACCTCAGTTCTCGAACTCATTAGAACTCGAATTCCTTAAAAGTCGAACCAACCAGTTCGAAAAAAAATTACCTAGAGCTCGAAGTCAAACCATGAACGCCGACCTGAGATAACTTGTATGCATGGGGAAATGAGTCACACGGCCCTATCTCAGCTGAAACAAAGAGTAAAGCTTCAGTCTCAGCCTCGCATTCGCTGTGATAGCACCATGCATGTTTACACTAACTGAATACATATATTTAGACAGTAAAAATACATTTAGACAATGATAGACAGTAACAGTAATTATTATTATATAATAAAATACATTTTAAAATAAAGATTTCTTATTTATTATTTTAATATTAATAATAAACCATTAATATGTTTAATTATAATAATATTGTTGTGCCAAGCGGGGACAGAATGGAGACAAAGGCGCAGAATTCAGGGTATCGGCGTATACGGGGTTTAATTACAGGTAAGGCAGGCAAAACGCAGACGGACAATACAATGACTGGACTGCGGAAACAAACTGAAACACAGACGAAATACAGAGGACTAATGATAACAACCATAAACAGCTGATCACAAGAGGATTCCACATGGGGTTAAGGAGGGGGCGTGGCATACGGAAGGAGCGGACGGGGCAGGATACATTGTTTAGATTTTCTTACTTTACAAATTATTGTTTTGATATATGTGCTTAGATATGTTTAGTACAGTATATGCTCTTCTTGTTTTATCCGGTTCATTTTGTGTGTAAATGCTAAAAAAAAAAAAATACATATTTAGGTGTAATTTTTGAGGGCCGGGAACCAATTAATTGGTTTTCCATTATTTCTTATGGGGAAAATTCGATAAGAACTCGAACTTTTTAGGATTCAATCCGGAGTTCTGAACAGATTAAATTCGAGTTCTGAGGTACCACTGTATGTGATTGTTTTCATTCAGTAATTGTTTAACTAAAAGTATACCTTTTTCAGTCCAGTTTTCATAGAATAATGTCTTTTTTACTTTAATGTATCTGTTATTCCAGATTAAGTAAGTGTGAGGGGAGAAATAATTTTTATAAATCAGCAACCAAGCAAGAAGTGCCTGCTTGTGAAAATTAGCAAGTTTCACGGGAAGTCATCCTATATCAAAATTACATTTTAACAATAATTCTAATCCTCCAACCTTTTGAAATATTAAGTTCAGTATAAGGGACCACATGCTCTCGATCTTTGTACTTGAGATAATTCTGGATCCATCTTGTTTTAAATACAACATTAGAAGATCTACAGTCTAAAACAGGGGTCTCCAGCTCCGGTCCTGGGGCCTCATGTATAAACGGTGCTTACGCACAAAAATGTTGCGCACGCCCGTTTCCACGCTCA